GAACACCCGGATAACACCAGGAGAACACGAGGAGAACACCAGGAGAACCCAATCGAACACCAGGAGAACACCAGGAGAACACCCGGATAACACCAGGAGAACACCAGGAGAACCCAAGGGAACACCAGGAAAACACCAGGATAACACCAGGAGAACACGAGAACACCAGGAGAACCCAATCGAACACCAGGAGAACACCAGGAGAACACCCGGATAACACCAGGAGAACACCAGGAGAACCCAAGGGAACACCAGGAAAACACCAGGATAACACCAGGAGAACACGAGAACACCAGGAGAACCCAATCGAACACCAGGAGAACACCAGGAGAACACCCGGATAACACCAGGAGAACACCAGGAGAACCCAATCGAACACCAGGAGAACACCAGGAAAACACCAGGATACCACCAGGAGAACACCCGGATAACACCACGAGAACATGAAGAGAACACCAGGAGAACCCAAGAGAATACCAGGAAAACACAGGGAAAACACCAGGAAAACACCGGGATAACACCACGAGAACATGAGGAGAACACCAGGAGAACCCAAGAGAATACCAGGAGAACACCAGGAAAACACCAGGAAAACACTAGGAGAACACCAGGAGATCATGAGGAGAACACAAGGACAACATCATGAGAACACCAGGAGAACACAAGGAGAACACCAGGAGACTTTGATTTGCATCCAACTTAGAACGTGAATGTGTCTTATAAAGACGTATCTCCGTGCTTAAAAACATAAAACTCTNTTTGATTTGCATCCAACTTAGAACGTGAATGTGTCTTATAAAGACGTATCTCCGTGCTTAAAAACATAAAACTCTAACTACAGTTTGCTGAAGAGCGAGTTAACAGAATGACAAAGATTCCTGGAAGAAGTCGTCTTCCAAAAACTGAGTGAAAGTCCAGTTTCCTCTAATTAAAGCCTGTTTCGTTGTTCTTTGGGTAACAATGGGAAAGTACAGCAGTTTCCCTTTCAGCAATCTAGCTATGCTGAATAAAAATGACAATTTGTGGACTTTATTCAAGCAGTGTTTAAAAGCAGGTTTAAAAGAAAATTTTTGTTTTTAATGTCTTACTACACTTTGATAACGACAACCAGCAACATGCCTGCAGGAGATGACTAAGACAACTTTTATTGTCATTTTGTATGCACACAGTGTTTACAAAACTACATTTCGTTTTGCACAGCCTTCATGACATTTCTATTGCTTAAAGTGCAGCAGTGATCAAATGTAAACAGTGTGGGAGAAAAAACATGGTGCAATATGATCTGGAAGTTCAGAGCATTAATATATATGGTGCAAATGTTTTGAGTCTGTGACATGATGATTTAGAGATTTCTCAACAATTCAGCTGTTCAGTTTTACTAATAGATCAGTGATTTCTATAATCATTGGGGGTGTAAAAAAGAACATGGCTCCAAATTGATTGGATAATTAACAACATAAACGCAAAAATGAGATAATTTATCTGCATAAACAGGTGATCAGATATTTTTTTTGCTAAGTTGATATCAAAATAAATAATAGTGTTGGCTGGACACATATATTATATGGATCACACATTTGTGAACTGAATGGAAAGAGTAACAGACTCCTTTAAAATCTGCAAACAAAGCTGCTGATTTACACCCATAATAATTATTATGTAGCAGCAAAATCAGAGACAGCCACTGATCCTTACTTATGTAATCCAGATTAAAATTATAGACTGCCTTTACTTAAGAATAAATGTTTTATTACATTGTCATGATGCCAAATGTTAAACAGTTGCACCATGATTGTTTTAATAATGCAATGATTGGGTTTTATCATTTCAATTGCAGACACTTGTTACAAACAGCACATGGTTTATAAAGATAATCCGCATTTTATAGTCCTTAATTCCAACCCTCCAGTTGGCTGAATGGGAAACGTTGTTTTTGCGGGGATCGTGCGGGAGACCGCCTAGAAGCATCATGATGACTCAATTATCACGCATCCTCAGTGACAGGTGTCCAGCCTCGAACCCGCAATCCCATTTCTTCCCACTTTTGGTAATCTGAGCTTAATTAGCGGGTTAGATCAGAGAGAACAGCAGAAAGCTTTATATTCTGTTCATTAGAAAAGCGTTTATATGACATATCAACAGTATGTTTAATAAAAAGTATTGAGACACTTCTGTGCTTGTTGATAGAAGCTAGCTGGGAGGCAGGGGCGGTTTTTGGTCTTAATTGGGACCCCAGACAGGGTCGTGTTGTGTCCGATAATGGAAGCATGCAGTTTGCATTTACCTGTAATGGAAAAGAGGCGCTCTTGTTGCCCACGTATCCCCGGACTACATGGCTCTGAATGGACAGAACACGGCATTCCATGGCGGCTCCCGCTCAGCCGAGGGCGAATCTAGATAATCCGTCACTTAAAGGCAAAGTCCGCACATAACAACGCGAGAAAACGAGGCTTTTTTTCCACACTATCCTGTTAGCTAGCTTCCTTCCTAACCTCTCACAGATGTGACGGAGGGCGCGTGCGGTGACCGTAGTGATGTGTGCGTGTGAATGAGGGAGAGCGCGCGTGCGAATGGACGCAGCTTAACGTTGCTGTTAGCGCTAATGTCGCTGTTTGCGGCTCATGGTGGGAATCCTTAAACAGAGCAAACAGTAAGCCGACATTAAGGGGGTCGCCTCTAGCAAGGACACACGTTAAAATGCACGCGCGCCGGCTTTACGTACAGGCTGTCTCTGCGACCGCCTAAACACGATGACGTCAACGCCGTGCTAGATTTAAAACCATTGTACATTTCAATCATCACTTTAGTTGCATTATTGTTGTCTGTTTTTATTAAACCAGTCGTTCAAAACAATAATTTCCATCGTTTAATGATTGAAATGTTTCCGGAACACGTGACATTTTTGCCATTTTCCCCCTGATGTGTTTTCTGTGTGACTCACCATTTCACTGGCAGAGTCGTGACTGAGGAAAGATTTGACTTCTGGTTATGTCTCTCTACTGCACAGTACTACAGAAAAAAATATCTACTGATATTTAGGACCTATAATGACATGTTTTCTGAAGATGCACACAGACAAAAAAAAAAAACTTTCTTTAGGAAGTCATTAAAAGAGAGAAGAAAACCCCACATTTAGAATATTATTTAAAAACACATCAAGAGTAAAGGTGGAGAACAAATCACAACAGAAACATCACCAAAAAATATGAACTATCTTTATGGGAATGTTAACATGGAAGTATTTTCATATTACTTCATGGTCTAGAGGCCTGTCAACCTGTCTACAGCTTCGGACACTTTTCTGAACTCGTGTAACATCTAAAGTGGATAAATAATTGACCAATTCCCATCATCATCTCACCTCCCTTTACAGAAACAATTCAACCCAATTCATCCCTCACACTAAGCATGCTTGTAGCGACAGTGGAGAGGAAAGACCCCCTTTAACAGGAAGAAACCTCTAGCAGAACCAGGCTCAGAGTGAGCGGCCATCTGCTGAGACCGACTGGGGTTCAATCCACCGCATAGTACAGTTTGTAGATGCAGGAAGTTCTAGTTGTTTAAATTCTAATGTGTTTTATAATTATCTGATAATGTTCAAGTAGAAAAAAGAACAGTTAGAAGACCATCTTAAGTTTATGATGCGACTCGGAAAGTCAAAAGCTCTTCTTCCTGCCTTGGCACTTACACTCACCAGCCACTTTATTAGGTA